ACAAATTCTCACAAATCAATTTTTTTGCCTTTGTTCATTAGTTCATGGCCCAAAAGATACTCAAGTTTATGCATCTTGATATTGTAATTTGTATTTGAAATACTTGGGGAATTGTTATGCCTACAAATACTTTAAAATAAATATTTTATCTTTAGCTCAAAAACTAAAATATTACATTTTTGGCCTTCCTTTTGTCCACAGGAACCTCAATTCCATCTTCAAAGATAGAATACTACAATTTTATTCCTTTAGATGTATGGCGTTATGTTTCCCCTTTGGAAACACATAAATTAAAAAAAACATTTATTCCTTAATCAAGCTAAGGAAGAAGTTTTTTTCTTTCTTACTTTATGCAAAAATTTACCTACTACAACAAAAAGTGTTCCTTGCATTTTGTCCACATCGGTGCATTCTACCTATGCTCGATTAAAAGAAAAATGGAAGTGAAAATCTCCCACTACCACTAATGCCCTTCTGGGTTCCTAGAAGGTGTTTGGGAATACAAAAAGATGTTAGGGAGGCTGTAGGAGTAAGGTGATAGGGTAGATGGATGGCGAGCAAAATTCTGGTGCGGATAACAGCGGGACAATAAACAGGAAAGAAAAGCATCAATTTTCCTGTTGCGCAGTAGTTTTTTGATGGTTGGACGATGATGGAGGTCTTTGAATGTCCAGGAAAGATCACCACTTTAATCCTACAGGACTACAGACACGCCGCATTAAGGAAATCCAAAAAAAAAATACTCCGATAGAGAATAACTAAGAGATATATCTCTAAGTAACTTAGCAATAGCCAAAATTCTCTAAAATCAAAAAAATAATAGTATATAAACAGTTCTCAAATAGTAAATAACCTAATTAAAAAATAGAAAAATAGGAAAGAAATAAAAAAATAAGAAATTTTGCTAAATTGAAAAAGGAATTGTATTTCGTGTGAAACAACATCCCATGATCACGGGATTTACCATGATCCTGCAGAATCGTGAGATCCCACTAGGGCTGTAGCGGGATCCATAGTTCTGTAAAATCCCGTGAAACTAGCTCTCGTGTCATTCTCTTGGGATAAGAGAGACTCCTTCTTCTTCTTTGGAAACCTATAGAATCAATCTATCACCACCATAACAAAATCATCGTCTTGTTGTGTCTGAGGCAGTCCCACTGTAAAATCAATATTCATGTCCATTTCATGCAACTTTAAACCGCATGTCATTACAAAGCATATTTTGATAAAATAAATAGTCATTCTTCTTCCACACAATTAGAGCTAGAGCTGCATATGGGCTAGTACTCTCACGAACCAGGCCCCATCAAGTGTGTTATATATTTTTGCAACTTCTCATACTCGGTCAATCGCATCCCATATGAGAGTTGGCGAAAAAAATAATAATAATGAAGTCAACGGCATGTTGAATCTCTCTCGATGGTAGCCACCCAGAAAGTAAATTGTTAATCAAGAAATTTAGTACCTCCCTCAACAAAGGCTGCCCCTTATTCTTATCGACTCATTGGGCTCACTACCTTCTATGACAACTGATGTTAATCCTGTTGGAGTCTTTCTCATAGGTTTAGCGTGAATCATTAGCATCTATCCCTCGTTGGTTGTAAGCTGATACTCTTCATTGATGTCTTCATTCTCTCTGATGCCACTGTCCACTTCTTCAGTTGTTTCCTGATCAGTAAAAAAATATCAATCTCTTATTTGGGCAATATGATGCAATTCGCCCAGAGCATAGCATTTGAACCATTTTTGGGCGGCACAGATCATGGAATGTTGGTGTTGGTTGGGTTCTACCTTTTGTTCACTTTGGATTGGTTTCTCCTTATATAAGTCAGCTTTAATGTTCTCATGGGTGTACTCTGGCTACGTAATCTTGGGATTAAACTATGTTTGTATGATATGATGGTCACCTGATGATGTTGTTGTTTCTTCACCATCATAACTATTGTCTGTGCATCGAATAGGGACTAACACGTTTGTAGTTTACCACATTCCTAACAGACGACTAAAATCCTCTAATATATTAAGTTGTGGTGTTCTCCTCGGGCTCTTCTAACTCACACTTCAATATAAGTTGCTCGAACTCAGTTATGTAGCTCTCTACTGAGACATCTTATTGCTTCAAGTAATGAAGTCAAAAGAATGTCATATTTGTAATGAACCAGCAAGTATTTGAGTTGCATTTCTAGTTTCATCTTTTAGAAGGTAATGATTTTATTTTTCCTTTCCAGTTGTCAAAGATGCTTTAGGTTGTCCCACCACTGCATGCTTTTTTAACTTAACGGCAGTTGGTTTTACCCTTCTGTCCGGTTAAACATTCTTGTACTCAATGATTTATTCTACTGGTTAGAATCACTCAATGAACTCGTCTAGATCCATGCTACCGTCAAAATTTGGCAAGTCAATTTTCACTCCAAACTCCTGGCTTATCCTCTTATATTTTATGTCAAATAATCGGGGTATGGATTCTTTATTACTGAAAACTATCTGGTGAAAGGAATTTGTTTCCTCCTTTCGATCTAGTGAGTCACCACTGTGGTAACGAGTAACATTAAGGTTGCCTCCTTTCAAAAGCAGTTTGCCTTTGTTTTAGTTGAAGGATTTCTCTATGCATGTCTTTCATAGAGAGCTCTCAAACACCTCATTTAAGGTTTCTCCAGGGCAGCATGACGTCCTGTTCTTCCAATTGAAATTTTGATAGAGAAGATAATTATGGCTTAGGGTGAAGAATTGAGATAGAATAGTTTGGGTATGAAGAAATTTTCTTTTTTTTTTCTTATTTTAAATTTGGGGCACAAAAACAAATCCCTAAAAATATAGAATTTGTCGGGCATTGATACAAAATAATACCATGCTATGGCTCCTATAAAGTGTTTGGGAATACAAAAACATATTAGGGAAGTTGTATGATGGGTAACGGGATAGGGAGGATGGATAGCGGATGAAATTCCGGTGTGGATGATAATGGGACAACAAAATGAAACGGAAAACAATAGTTTTCCTGTTGCAAACAACAATTTGCTGCTAGTTAGACGACGAATGAGGTCTACAAACATTCGTAAGTATCATCATTTTGATCCTATCAGGATGCAGACACATTGTCAAAAACAAAATTCACAAATATGACACTCTCCGATAGAGAAAATCCAAGAGAGATATCTCTAAATAATATAAAAATAGCACAAAATCTCTAAAACTAGAAAAATAACAAAATATAAATAGTACTCTAATAGAAAAGAACCTAATGAGAAAATAGAAAAATATGAAAGAAATAAAAAAAGGTAATAAATTTTGCTAAATGAAAAATGGGATTGTATCCTATGTGAAACAGCATTCCGTGATCACGGGATTTATTGGAATCCTGTGGAATGACAGAATCCCACTCAGGACTATAGCAGGATCAACGATTACACAAAATCATATGGAACCGGCTCCCGCATCAACTACTATGGGTACAACTCCAATGACAGATCATAAAGGAGTTACCGTGGTAGAAACTAACTCTAAAATTTTACATTTCATTTGGTGTCCACCTACTCCAAGAAAAAAATTGTTCATTCCCTTTGGCGTCCCCGTCACTGCCTTCTACCCAAGCTAAATTCAAAGAAAAAGAGAGGAAGAATCTCCTATTACAATAAGCAGCCTCCAGGCAACACATAAAATGAAGTCACAAAGGTGAAGACCAACTTCTTTAAGAGCTAGCTTTGCAGTGATGGTGAAGTGAATTGTACAATGAGTACATCATTGTTCCTATGGCTATACCACCACAAATTCTTAATCGGCAAACAAGCTCAATAAGCTCCTGCCAAGTGGTGCTACAAAATTCTTCTTGAATGATCTCCTATCCTTGATTTTTTTCTTTGATTACCCATCTACAATCCTCACCACAAAAATGTAAATATAGACAACCTCAAGTTGATCTGTTGGATCATAGCATTGTTGATATAGTTCTCCTCAACCTTCTAACTCCTTATATGGTACATTATGCGAAGGATTTTAGATGTGGTGTAGCTACAAAAAACTAAAATAAATGTGACTCCTACAATGATATGCACATAGCCAGACTTCCTCCTATTGAAGTTTCAGTTTCTCAAGATAGATCTTGAAGCAGTACACGTTTTTCTAGTTTCACAACATTGCATTCCAAGAAAAGATTAGACAACTTCTCAACCAAAAGTTTTACCCATGAAAAATGTTAGGAAAGCCAGGAATGACATCTCCCATGATCATTCAAAGGCAAGCAGAAGCTTGCTTGGGGTAGTGATTGGAACTCTTAACATCGCAACATAACACATGTTAGAAACAATACAAGAGAAGATTGCTCTTAGGCTTCACATTAGTCAAAGTAAAGTGTGTGAGGAGAACGTCACGTCTTGGAAGGCTACTATCAATTAAACTTACATTGAGCCAAATTCTATAAGAGGCAGAAACAACCTAGTAGGACAATGCTAGCACACAATTTGACAATGTAAATCTAACAATATTTTAAATATATTTAGTTTGCCATTTTAATTATTTAAATGTTCTATTCTTTTATTTGTTTATTGATTTTAGTGCAACAGGTAATATTTTAAATCTTCATTTGCAAACATTCATCAAAGGACCTAATGATGATGATGATCCATCTAAGGGTACAATTGTTTGCTTTTAAACAAGAAAGCATGTCCTACAAAAATGACTTCATTTTCACTCATGATAAGCGAAGAGAAAATCATCACGTTTGAGGGTAATTTGAGTAAGAATGAAGAATTTGACACTAATGTTGATTGCTGACTACATCCATCCAAATGTTTAAGCTAACAAAGTATGCCTATTTTTCAAAACGTACCTAAAGGTAATCAAATGAATCGTAATAAGACTTCAATCTCGCCTTAGAAGTGGTCTCAGAACACACAAAAGCAAAATAAAGCAGCATTTGTGCGAAATTATGCGGCATGTGGTAACCGAAACAACAAAACAGTTGGATTCAGTTTAAAGATAGCACAAGAGCAGGAGAGAAGTACCATGTCTGCAAGCAAACGGCAAAGAAATTTCCTGCGACTCAGCCGTGTGCAGAATGTATTGGTCCTGCAATAAAAATCCCAAGGAAGTTTAACTATCCAAACTCACGAAAGTTCAGGAATGATAGAATTCCATTTACCTCGGGGACGAAGAACTGGTGTACAACCTCCCGCTGCCGGTCGTGGACGGTGACTCTGTGAACTTGAGCAGCGGCTGTATGAACCGGTGCTTCATAATGATCGGAAACTCCGACGGTTGATTGGAGCTCTGCTTTTGTCGTCGCGGGAAACATATGACCCCTACCCCGAAAGGAGGAATGTCGGTGCAAAGAGAAACCAAATCCACTGGATATGGTCAGAGCCATTTGCATCGCAGCTTCTTACGTCTCACCTGAATTTGATGCGCAAAGTCAGTATTCCCGCTCTCTTCACTTGCCCTTGAACGCGCGACGCAGCAGGTGAAATAGATAAGTGGCAATTAGGGGATTTCATAACAAAGGAAAAAGTTGGGGGATTCCAATTAAAATTCCTGCGAACTCTGGGTAAAAAGTTAGTTGTGAAGCAAATGTAGGGGCTTTCAAATGAAGTTGATGAGCTATGAAATTATTATTCAACAGATATCTCAAGAATAAAGATTATAATGTCCATACAGAATATTATTATTTGTGCACAATTTTTGAAACAGTTCAAAAAGAACAACTTCAAAATATAACAAAAATTCAGAAGTCTTTTTTATTTAAAATTATGCATCGCATAATACTAGTAAATAAAACAAAAATTATAATTAAAATAAGGTTCAAAAAGAACAACTTCAAAATATAACAAAAATTTAGAAGTCTTTTTTTATTTAAAATTATGCATCGCATAATACTAATAAATAAAACAAAAATTATAATTAAAATAACAACGAATAATATTATTATAACATTTGTCTTCATGTCAAAACGATCAAGTCTCTTGAAATTTTTTTTTTCCAAAGAGAATCTCCACAAATTGTCGCTATGTGAAGTGGGCTCCTCACAACCCTGAGCTCATAAAAAAAAAGTCACAATCATTATGTGTTATGTTTCCGGGACACCTATAAAATTTGTCCACTACATGTTACTTTTTCATGCTCCAATTCTTCATATTCAAAAGCTTGGCTATCAGCTACCCTTGTCACCACAACTACCCTATGGCATTGATCATCTCTAGAGTATGTGGGAAACTTCATAGATTTCAGAAAATCAAAAGTTACTTCCTAATCATTTACTCTCATACTAAGTTCATCCTATAGTTCATCAATCAATCATAGCTCTTCCAGTGACTAAAAAGTGTCTTCTAAGCATAATAGGAATGTCATTATATTCATTCATTTCCAAAATAACAAAATTAGCAGTGAAGATTAACTTGTCAGCTTCTACGAGAATGTCTTTGATTATTCCCTTAGGATAGGTCTCAGGACGGTCAGCTAATTGTAGGGTGACGATGATGGGTTGGACATCTCTTAATACTAGTCTTTTAAAAATCGCCAGAGATATAAGGTTGATGCTAGCTTTTAGGTCACTCAAAGCCCTCCCACTAAATATCATTCTTATTGCACCGGGGATGGTGAAGTTCCATGTGTCTTTTAGTTTTTTGGGCAACTTCTTATGTAGGATATCACTGCACTCCTTAGTCATGGCAACCATCTCACTATGCCATAGTTTTCTTTCTTGCCCAAGACATTCTTCACAAACCCTAAATAGCTCGATACCTATTCTAGGGCTTTAGCAGAAGGAATATTGACGGTGAGTTTATTGGCAACATCTAGAACCTTGGGCATATATCGGTTCCTCATTTTCATCTAGATTCTCTGAGGAATGGGTGGTGGTAGTTTCTATTTTCCTATCCAAAGAGGTAAGGCAGGTTCTCCTAAATTTGGGTCATTTTTTCAAGAAGGCTTGCAAGCTTGAAATTTGTCTCTACAAGTTTGCTTGCTATCCTATGGGTATCTTTTCCCTTCATCTTAATCCTCATTATTATGGATTAACAGTGTTCTACCTTATGATCACTTAGATTTATCTTTGTGTCACTAGGGAGCACTCCTATTACTCATTGAGTTCGCCAACTATCCAAGCTGACTTTTAATGTTCCTGTCGGTCGTCAAATTAGAATATCTCAGTTGCTTTCAAAATATATTTAATATCGATTTAATATATATATATATATATATATATATATATGTAATTTTTTTATTTTGAAAATAATATTGTTATTTTGAAAATTATGAGACCGAACAGATCTCATACATTTAATAGTTTAAACAATTGATCACAACACTACAAGCAATACACCGTCCCGAGAGATAGGCATACTACTTGTCAATGGACTTGATCATATAAACTAAAGAAACTTATGACATCTATTTTAATCAGTGAAGCTTTTATGTATGACTGACAAGTTCCCCAAACTAATATAAGGATTAGATAGGGTTTATATTGCCTGACTTTTTAAGTTCTCTATAAGGGCAAGCCCCTACAGTTATTTACATCTTAAATGACCGAAGTCGTTTAAGAAAACTCTTGATGATGATCAGGGGTACTTGACTTCAAAATTCAATATTTAGGGTTTCAAGGTCGGACATGGAAACGTCAAGTGGGAATGGCTGAAGTAGAAAAAATTATTTTTCAAGAGTGAAAGAAGTGAAAGATAGGGGATGTCACAAATCTAAGGAAAACCTCGATGACTTCCTGAACTATCCTACTATTTGGCTTTAAATCTTTGAAAATGATGTTATTTAATGTTTTAATTCTAACAATTATTATTATTTAGGGCTTATACATGCATACTAGTCGATCATGCAAGTAGCCTAAAAGATAAAAGGATTTACGTCGTACCCAACGGCGACCTCGAAATCCTAAGAGAGTTAGAGCTTATAGTGCATAACGGGGTTATGCAAAATCCTAAAGATTAGGTGAGGATGTCGCATTGAGTGGAAAACCTCGAATTCCTATGGATTTGTTAATTTAAGTCTAAAAAATGGTTTTGTTGATGCAAATCATATTTTATGTTGGGTCTTGATTTATCTGCGGAAGTTATCCTTCACTACTTGTTGGGTCTTTTTGTTGTGATAGATTATGTAAAATTTAACTAAATATAATCAATTAATATTCAGATTTTATGCAAGTATATGTATCATTATCAAGTAATAAAAGACATTCTATTTAAGCCCAAAATATCGATCCCAGGGGAAGGTTTAAATTTAAAATGATAAATTTACTAGGAAATTCAAAAAAAGTCAAAACGAAATTACTGTCACTAATTTCAAATGTTGAGATATTATCAAAACTAATTTATTTAACTTATAACAAAACTGAAATACAAAGTTTAAATAGTAACTACTAAACTATTAAACCATGTTTGTGTGATGAAGATTTCTTATGTGAAAAATATCTTTTCCACTATAATGAGGTTTTGGTAAAATGAGATGAGATAAATGGTTCAAATATGTATTAAGCCAAATAGGAGCTGTTTTAATTCACTACCCTGATACAGTGTTATAGAAAATCATTGGCTAATCTCAAGTTTAGTCCCTAAATCTGTGGCTAGGCTAGGAGAATACTGACTCCCACTCTAGAGCTCCCACTTCCCTTCACCTATAGGCTAATTCTCACTTTAGTTTTTAAACACTAAGACCAAATTGAGGATTTTAGTCTGTCACTCTAAAGATTCTCCAATTCTACACCCAACTAAGTATATGTCCCTATTTATTTGCACTTAATTCCATGAACAAAATTATCCTTCATGGAATCAAATGTGATCCTCAATCTGTTATAGAACTCATACTCCATTTCCCGGATCATATGTTTCACAATCTATTTTTACAATTCAATTGGCCGCCAAATCAGAAATTAAATTAAGTTCCGAGTTGAAAAATCATCACAATTTATTTTATATTTTAATATTGGCACATCCATATTATCTCTTCATTTCATCATATCTCAGAGTAGGGAGAAAGATAAAATAAACTACTCAGACTTTATGGGAAAGATACAACAAAATACAAATTTCATATAGCACTAATAAACAAACAATACTTATCTGAAACTCTTTCTCAAAGCAAATCCCTTGTAGCCTCTTCTAGGAAATGTAGGAAGAGGAAATCTCTCACTTATCTCCTTCTCCAACACACTTAGAGAAGAATTCACACTTAATCTCACCACAAAACTCTAAATTATAAGAACAATGGACTATAAATGGTTGTGGAATGAAAAATGGAAAAATGTGTGACGCGTAGAAGGTTGAATTGGGACGATGAGATGTCAGGAAGAGTCACTTTTCTGATCAATTTTGGCCCCAAATAAAGCCTAGAGTCGATTATCTAATAGGTGCCTCCAAAAACACTTCAAAAAGGGTCTAAAATCTCTTGATATCTACAAGAATCTGTTTTTGAACCGACATTGGCGCCGTCGGCGCCCATTCTGGCGCTATCGGCTCTAGTGTTCCGCAATTTAATTTGCTGCTCTCTGTCAAACTACGTCGTCGGCGCTGCTTCTGACGTCGTCGACACTGAGTAAAATTCACCATCTATTCTTTGCTCTGCACCGTCGACGCTGCTCTGGGCACTGTCGGCGCTGAGCATTTCTTCAAAAATGTCATTTTAACTCTAAATTCCATCTTTTTTTGCTTCCTTTCTGCTTAAAGTCCTAAAAATCAACAACCTAGAAGAAAACATAAAAATATCTTCCATTAAAGTGCAATATCACAAAAAATGAGTATAAAATATGGGTCTAAAAATGCATATATTTTTTGTGTATCAAAATCCCCCAAACTTACATGTTACTTGTGCTCAAGTAACTCCTTTACTATATAAGAAATATGACTTATGGTAAAGAATTTAACTTATAGATTTCCATATATTAGTCCACTAAATACAATAGCATAACTTAAGAAAAATTCAGAACAAGTCCAGTTAATATTAAAGCTATAAGAATATTTAGCAATCAAGTCTAAGATTTCTGCTCTATTCTTTTCAAGAAAAACTTCCAAATTGTCATATTAAATTCACTTAAAGTATTCATATGAAAAAGAGCTTCATAAAACTTTACTAGTAAATGAGCTAATACTCAAATAAAACTTTAGAAAATGTAGTCAAATCTTTTTGCTTAAATTGATTCAAGTGAAGCCAATTTTTAATTCGGCATGTACTCAAGCTTCTCCCCACATCTTTTTCCCCACATCTTTTCTTTTCTTTTTTTCTTTTTCTTTTTCTTTCTTTTCTTTTCTTTTCTTTTCTTTTCTTTTTTTTATGTGAGGATTACTATATCTGGATAGCCTTTAATAAGTTAATTACAGTACATTTAACAAAATACTGTAATTACAGAAGAGGATAGTGAAGTTCAAAACCATTAAAGGCTAAAATTAATAATAGAACTAATTAAATTTACTAGGATAATGAAGTTCAAAACCATTAAATGCTGAGAAAGAGTTAATTACAGTACATTTAAAAAAATACTAAAATT